ATAAGCAGGAATCTCTAAGGGGAGGTGAATGCAAATGTATCTCCCTCTAGTTAGGCAAAACCCCAGCCCTGAGGAAAGGACCTTTGTCTGCTGATCACCTGTAACGTGGACCAGATCAAAGGTCCCAGCTGTATAAAGGAAAGAATGAACTATTTGTGGGCAGTCGTGTTCTGAGCAAAAGCAGTTGCAAACTTGTAACCACAGGAAAAAACCCCACATGAGGTCTGAAGGACGGATCACCAGCCAGCGCCCTTGTTGGGGTTGCAGGTGGTCTCCGGTAAGCTTATTAGCACGTGGGTAGGTTCTTTTACTGCTTTTAATATGTTTTTTCTGTAATGCTTTCGCCTTAAGAATAAATGTGCTTGATTAGAAAGAGCTGCCTGGTAACGTGGAACTGGGTAATTACGCTGTTCTAGCCCCTGAAGAGAAAGCAGAGCACAGAGCCTGGCCATTCAGGCAGTCTGGCTTGCTGGGAATGAGAGAGTGTAGGTAGGGAACTGTGTAGCCTGGGAAAAGCCCTAGTCAGGGGCAGAGACCCATGTCTCTCTCCCTTGAGAGAGGGGACAGCTAAGGAGCTGGGAGGCTAGAGTGGATACCCTTGCTGGACCACGGGGAGGGGGAGATACAGATGCAGTTGCCCTGAACTGGGACAGCCCCATTTTATAAAGGCTGAAAAAGAGCCAGATCCACATTTCTGAGTCATCCAAGGGAAGGAATCCTCCAAAATAAAACCAGGGGAGAGCCCTGTGTTGGAGGGCAGCGTCACAGCACGCCCTCCCACCCTCCTTAATTAACAGACTTTCCTGACCCTGCTGAGTTTAAGTTCACCCCTGTTCACTAGGAGAAACTACACTGCAGTCACAAAAGGCTGGATGGCACGGATGTTTCCCCAGCTGCTGGCAGGACTCAGGCCTGAAGGTTCTGCCCCCAGCTAGACACTGGCATGGCTAGAGGCACAGAAATAGGAATCACTGGTCCCAACTGCCTACTCCTGGCACAGCCAAACCCAGACAGGCAGGTGATTGCTGGTCACGGGAGGGGGGTGTTCATGGTAGCAGCTATGCCTATGTTTGAAGAGGTGGGCAACAGAGCCCCTGGGGGTGGGAAGGGGACTGGGTTGGGTGGGTGTTCATGTTGGGAGGGGGTGTTGAGAAGTACAGGGGGATGTGTAGAGAAGTTGGAAGGGTGTGACAATATGGGGCAGGTAACAGGAAGGGAGAAGGGATGGGTTGTGCGGGGTGGAGGGATGCTGGCAGGGGGGCTGTGCATTGGGAGAGGATGTGGATGTGTGAGATTTGGCAGGGATATGGCCTGGCAATGGCAGAGCCAGGGGCACAAAGGAACTGAGGAGGACGCCCGTGTGCACACAGGAAGGTACTTATCCGAAACCCCACCACCATCCATGTTGTGACAGCTCCATCCCATCCCCCCCCGCTCTGACTGACAGACCCTCCGCCCCCGCACAGACCCTCTTCAGTCTGGCAACTCCTCCTCTTGCTAACATTGCCGTCTGTTACTATGGCGATGATAGTTATGGCGACAGACAGAAGATTGCAGCCTATTCAGATGAACGAGCAGGAGCAGGTGAGAATCCTTGCACAGAAATCATCCCATGGGATCAGGGGCCTGCAAGGGCTGCTCTGCCTGGATCCTGGAGGTCACCTCCACAGCCCCAGGGAGGGGGAAGACCAGCCGGGGCCCCAGGGAGGGATGCTTTGACACACCACGTCTTCTTTACTCTCCTCACCAGCTCCCAGTGAGCCCCAAGGGGCCACTTGGGCTGGTTGCCTCTCGTAGAGGCAATGTTAGGAGTCTAAAGAGGCAAAGCTCCCAGCAGGTAGAAGGCTGCAGCGGTAGTTACTATCTGTATGACAGTGGCCATCCAGTGAGGATCAGGGCCCCAATGGCACCAGCCCTGCAGGATCGGGGCCCCTGTGGTGCCAAGTGCCGCACACGCAGCAGGAAGAGACAGTCCCTGGTGCACAGAGCTCACAAACCAGTTAGAGACAAGGGGAGGCCCCGGCAGATCCAGCCGTTCCGTAATTAGTTGGAGACACTGAATAAGGGACTCAGCCAAGAAACAGAGAACTGAGGGACTCCCCCAAAGAGCCCCTGGCTCCAAACATCCCCTACTAACCCTTCTCTCACCTAGGCTTGGCATTCTCCCTTGCTCCCCATTCTGCCACTGGGGGTGCTCTGTCCTTCAATCCGACCCAAAACCCATCAGGACCCGAGGACGCGTCAGGTTCAGGTCAGAAAACCACCCCGACCTTCTCAGGCTCTGTTGACCTTCTCCTGCCCAGGCGCACAGTGCAGCCACAGCTGCGTGCCCCACCCTTGCCCGTTGGCGGCGCTGTGCGTGCCACAGCACAAGAGTGCCAAGCAGTCACAGCACCTGTCACTCCACAGCACTCACACAACAGCCACCAGCAGCCACCAGCCCGTGCAGCCGCCTCCACGCAAGAACTGGTGGCGGCACGGACACGGGTTCCCAGGGAAAGGTCAGGGTCAAAGTCAGAAAACAACTTGACCTTCTTGGGCTTTGGTCAGGTTGGCTGGGCTTAGGTCCAGTTTGAGCTTAAAATTAGGCCCAAGAAGCCTCACCAGGCAGAGAGTGGCTGGATAAGACAAGCCCTCCCCAAAACATGACCAAAGCACCAGACAGCTGCCTCCAAGAAACCACCTAACCCACCTGTATTCCAGCCTGGTCCTGCCACCGTGCAATGCTCCATCTCAGTCTGAGCGGCCAGCACTCCTGCACTCCGGGCCACGTGGTCCCCACCGGCTTCACCTCCACATTAAAGAGGAGCACAACTATGATCTACTCTAGGTAAAGCCCATGTGGCCCTTGGGCTTCTGGTGGAGTGCCAAGCAGGCCCTCAGCTGGACAAAGTTAGCAAGCCCCTGTTCTGGGCGAAGTGAAACTGTCTCCCTGTTCTCTGGTTCATACACTCCCCTGCTCTCAAAGTGGGCCTTGGGAGACCAAGTTTTCTTTGAGGGAAACCAAGATACCTACATGCTGCTTTGGTCATTGTTTTTTCAGCTCC